TTCGTATAGATCTACACAGCGCTTCCGTTACCATTTACTAGGTTGACATTTTAATTTACAACGACAGTTGAATAGCAGTTGCTTGTGTGAAAGTCTGGTGTCAAAGTTTAGATCTTTTATAAAATTTGCTAACAATTATACTTGTCTGAAACCTTATTTACTAAAAAAAACTGTTTATTTGAAACAATGCTTCTGGTATTATTGTTGTGAATAATATTCTTTTATAAAGACGATATAACCAAATGTTCATGTAACCACTTCTAATAACTTTAAAATATATATTACTTGCTAATTAATTTATCACCGTTAAATGAATGATGTATTTCATTTGCGAATTTATTATCGTGAAGAATATAATTGAGGCAGCTTATAAAACATAATTCAAATCTTTACGACGAATATTTTAACAACATTACAACCAGGTTTCTTCTTTAGAATGTTTATTGTCAAGGCTTCAAGAAGATGTAATGTCGATCTCAACGTTAACGTTACCTCCACATAACATTTCTAAATGAAACTCCCTTTTACCGTAACATTCATGTTATTACTAACATACTCTTGTCGATAAGATATTGGTTATGTTATTTCTTCAACCACACTAGAATAGCTCATTATCTTTAAAACAAATCTATGTTAGTTAACCCGGCACTATATAATATAAATATTTATCGCATGAACCTGATATTTACAAACTAATTGGGTTATTTTGGAAAAGATTGGTATATGCAGGGATTACTGATATGTTGGTTGTAGGTATTAACATCCTACGTACACGACGTTGTTAAAATTTATTTTTTCATTCCGAAAGTATCTTTGTTCTTGAGTATAAAATCACAAAAATGATTAGCTGATTTTTTCAACAATAACAATAGAAGAATAATTAAACCACAGTCACAGACAGCCAAATTCCCCTCACCAAATAGGAGAAAAGTTATAAGAAGAGAAAGGTCAATTTGAACATACTGACAGTCATAAAAACATGAAAGGGCAGTATCTCTGGATATAACAGTTATTCATCGAAGTAATTTCAAGCTGATTTCTCTTAAGAGCTACGGGTAATAGAAAACACAAATTTTGTTTCTTCTTTTTGGCCTTTTTAACTTGGGTTGTTCCAGTATTCCTGCTTGAATACTGTATAATTAATTACCCTTAGGATATGATACCTGCTTTTTAAATTTGTCTTTTGATGTCTTATATGTAATATGCAGGCTACATAACCTCGGATCCCATTTCGAAATTCCATTTTATTTAGTTCCGCCCATTGTTTTCTCGTTAAGGGCACACACATTCTTTTACTTGGGACCATACGCCGCTTTTCATGGAATGGCACAGAAGTGTCACATTGAAGGTTCCATGATAACCGCCGTATGAACACATCTGCGGATGTTTCTAATTTCAAAATTTCACCAGTTTCGTGGTAAATGTTGAATTCAGCTTATGCCGGTGCTATGGAGCGGGGACGGTTAATTGCACTTTTCAGTACCGTCCATGAACAGGCTCAATCAAACCGAGCCTGCAACATTTTCAATTTTGTCGTGTTGGACTTGCTTTAGGGATTCTATTTGTCACTATTCTATTTGATTGAGTCTGTACATGAGGGATCATGAATAAGTGCAACACCCCCACGCCCGCTAGCACTGGCCTGAGTAGAACTATAACGTGCCGGCATTCCCTTCAATAATTATTATCCAACTTTGAAGTTCCAAGTTCAAAGTCGTAACAAAATGTGAGACGGACAGACGGAATGACAGCGATTATTTCCATTTTCTCAGCCTCTTTTTCGGCGGGGAAAATAATGTTAGCGAGACGGCATTACTGTGTGTCAGTTGATTTATGATCGCTGATTTAAAAATTATGTCTGATTTGTAGTCGGTCGTTTGCAGAGAAACAGGTTTTTACTGAGAAGTTATCAAGGAAAAGTTGATCGACAACCGAGGTATAATCAGAATGTGTTAAAAGATAAGTGTACAATATCCAACTCGTTTAAAAACAATAATATATAATGCGTTATAAAAAGCTTAAGATGTTAAGGAAAAGTAAACACAGATGTGGTCTATTACGTAGATTTTATTACTAATCAAACAAAACTTTCGTCAGTTCTATATATATAGATACACAGAATAAATGATCTTGTATACAATAAATCCGTTAAGCAAAATATATAAATCTGCTAAGCGGTACGAAACCTAACTTATCTATCATATTTTTCTTATGTTTGGCATGTTTAATATCATAAATATTGTATTGGAATGGCATGATAGAGAGAGAATTGCGCGACATAGCGAAGAACACGAATTTCTAGTCCGTCAATTAATTTATTTATATAACTGAAATAGGGTTCGTTCTTCTCACTGACTGAAATTATTCAGTTCAAACAAAGGAGACAGAATAGCTTGTAAGTCATTTAAATGTTAAATGCAATGGAGCGGAGACAGCTTTTGAACAATAAAATTTAGTGTAATTATAGGGTCGTATTTGCATTAGATAACTTAAGACGCAATTTTGTGCTGTCCGGCACTTGACCTATTCAAAGAAGCTGATATCGATTAGGAGCTAAGTGTTTTTTTTTAGCCTGACATCAATTTTGAAAAAGAAAAAACTGTAAATACAATGAATGAGAAGTCTCTAACAACACATTTGCTATTTGAAGGAAATAAAATGTTTATTTGGGAGCAATCAATAATTGATACATACGAGGTATGATTAAAAAATGTTCGGCCCGATATACTTCTAGCCACTACACTGACATTTTTACACGATACGTCGATACCGATATCCAATTGAGGATTATTGACCGAGTTACACGCGGTTTTACACAGATTAAGTAACATAAAATCCACTTTGATCAGTAGAGGGGTGTGTCATTTAGACCAAATGGAGAAAGTTGAAATCCGAACCGTCATTAAGTACCTCTGTTAGAAAGGGATGTCCCCCAAGAAAATCAATAAAGACTTCATGGATACACTGAATTTAAGAGGGACAGGGAAAGCAATGGAGATGACGAGCGGCCTGGGCGGCCAAAAGAGGCCACCAACGATGAAACTACCGAAACTGTTCACGATCTGCTCGTGTGCGACTGAAGGCTAGACCTGCGAAGCAATGCTAGGGAAGTGGGTATATCTTTGATTCAGTTCAGGCAATTCTGACCGATGTCTATGACATGTCAAAAGTTTCCGTTAGATGTGTCCCCAGGAAGTTGACTTGACCAGAAACTTACCAGGCTTGACATTTCAAGATATGTTTTGTCTCGCTACGAGGATGAACCTGATGTTATCTACCGGATCATAACTAATCAAACCGAGCCTGCAACATTTTCAATTTTGCCGTGTTGGGGTTTCTTTAGGGATTCTGTATTTATCTATTTTAAGTATGAAACATGGGTCCATCACTTCGATCCGGAATAAAAAACAACAGAGCATGCAGTGGAAGCACCCTGGCTCACTCCTTCGGAAGAAATTCAAAAGAGTGCCATCAACAAGGAAGATGATGACTTCAATTTTGGATAGTCAGTGGATAATCATGATTGACTAACTTGAGCAAGGTCGTACCATAAACGGTACGTACTATGCGGACGGGTTGATACGTCTGCGTCAAGAAATCGCGAGTTAAAGGAGGAGCAAACTGACTCAAGGCGTTCTGCTCTTGCATGACAATGCACCAGCTCACACATCCCAACATATCTGCATATCACAGATAATACGTCAAAGGACAAAGTTAAAAAGCAGGCCACATATCCTAAGGATGATTCAACAGTATTAAAGTGAGGAATACTGGAACAAACAAGGAAATAGCCGTATAGAACGAACTAAATTACCACAAACCCAACAATAATGTCGTGCTGAACGATATTTAAGGATCAGGTATATAGCATCTCTGTTTGAATGTACGGGACGACTTTTTACAGCCCCCACATGGCACAAACAAAGCCGATGTGGTGGTAAAATAGAGAAAATAAATATCCCAAAGAAAGCCCAACACGGCAAAATTGAAAATGTTGCAGGCTCGGTTTGATTGAGCCTGTTCATGGACGGTACTGTAAAGTGCAAATTACCGTCCACGCCCATTAGCACCGGCTTCAGCAGAATTCAATATTTAACATGAAGTAGTACAATTTTGAATTTTGAAACATCCGCGGATGTGTTCATATGGCGGTTTTCATGGAACCTTCAATGTGAAATTCAATGAAAAGCGGCTTATGGTCACCAAGTAAAAAAATGCGTTTGCCCTAAACGAGCAAACAATGGGCGGAACTCAATAAAATGGAATTTTGAAAGGGCATCAGAGGTTATGAAGCAAACACCACTCTTAGCACAAAAATGTTGGTACTTGAAAAAATTTAAATTTCGACTGTACTATTTCAAATACAAGGATGGGAAGATCCATTACACGAAAGATATATATTTTTATTGCTTCAAACATTTCCTTATCTGTTGTTTTCCATAATTTAAAATACGCCGTATAGTGCTTTCAATGTGTCAATTATACCATGCTTAAATTTGAATAATAAGTTACAGGAAAAACAATTCTCGTGAATGTATGCCAAGTACGTCAAAATACAATCCTTAAATTTAAATCATAAGTTATAGGAAAAATCATTCTTGCGAATATATGCCAAGCACGCCAAGGAGAGATACAATCAATAAGTATTTAAAGATGATCTCGTATTGTACCTTTACGTTATTTCTCAAAATATAAACTATCGTTGGTTACATTTAGGCGTTTATATTGAAATGTGAAGTCTATTAATATTTTATATGATATTAATTAAAACATTTTTGAATCAATATGGTCATTGTCATTAAAATAGTGAATTCTTTTTATCCTCGCCAGCTTTATTAAAACATTTTATTTGTGTCAATTATTATAATTATCAACAGTGAATTCTTAAAATATGGTTTCAGTTATGCTATTGGATGCACACATATAGGTTTTATGTAACGAAATGTGCTACAACATATTGAATAATATTATTCTTGTAATTTTATTTATAACTTGACCAGTTCTTCAAACGACATCGGATGTCCCAACTGTCGAGCCACACATAGCATTCCGTCAACTGGTGTAGCCGGTTTTGACACAAATTACGATTACGAGGTACAAAGTATATCAACTCTCTTATCTAGTTTTAGACTAAATAACGTGTATGATAATAGGCAACGGGTAGGTTTGAAAATAAACACAATTTAATGTTAAATTCCTAACGTTAGATATGGAAACACGTCAATGAAATTTATATCGGAAATAAATAATGCTTTATAAATTGCCAAAGTTAAATGTTTATTTACACTTACTCATTCACATTCTACAGTATGTTTTCTATCTAAATAGACTCTTAATGTTTGCTAATAGTATTGTTTTAGTACAATTGTATGTATAACGTTTGTCCGGTTTGTATTGCACGAAAATGAAACCCTTTTTGTTAATTTTCAACTCCAGCAATATTTTGTTTTGTTTTAAACATATATATCACATTTCATCCTTTCCTCTGCTCTTTATTATAGAATGTAAGATTTTAAAACTCTTTTATTGCATCACTCTTTCACATTCTTGTTAATCTTAGAATAATAAATGTAAAGAATTTGGCTTCCAAGTATGAACAGGACATTAGTCTTGTATACCCTGAAAGGTTACGAATATAATTTATTATTTCATCATGTCCTCTGTTTATTATCATAGCACCATCAAGAAGCCGACCGCCAGAATTTGGTTTCCAACCAAGTATGAGCAGAACATCAGTCTGGTATATCCTAAAATTTTGTATAGATCATCAAGATGTTAAATATACTTGCTTTACAAATCATCAATTTAAAGATATTGATAATGTGGGTAAATGTAACAAAAAAAATTAACAAAGATTTCATTGTTACACATTAGTCTGTAAAGTTTGGAGTAAAGAATTCTGTACTGTCAGTTGTATACAATTACCGATTCATTTTTGTGTTCATGGTTTATATTTTGTTAAGAGAAAAATAGCCATTAGTCATCTAAATTAGTACTGTTATAAAGGCAGGGTTGGGGTCATTACTTGGCAAAATGAATGCATTCCATTACCATTATTTTGGGGTTTGGTGCATTATCAGTACCAGTACCATTACTTGATTTTGGGCAATTATGCAGTACATTACCATTACTTTTAAGCATAAGACAATTTCTTTTTGCCAAGCTGAGATGTTTTGTAGCTTATATTTATAAAAAATCATGTACATTTGTATACATATATTAAATTTCTAAATATTCATCTCTGTGTTTTTCCTTAAAATAAAAATACAACCAAACTGAATTTACCTAAAATTGTATTTAAGGGGGAATTGCTTGATTGTTGGCATCTGTGGAATTATTGCCGGCATCTGTGAGTTTACAAGTAAGTGTTGCAAACATTGGAGTGACTTTTTAGAAAAGAAACTTATTTGTAAAATCAGAATGGTTAAGCGGAAAAGCAAGAAAGAAGTGGATTTTTGACTGGAGAAATTCCAAGCAAGAAATGTTTAGAAAGCAATCTAAGTACAACACTTTTATTGAAATTATTGATAACGTTCATATTGAAAATGCACCAAAAATAAAATAAAAATAAAATATTCTCCAAACGTATGCTGGCTGAAATGTAGAGGTGAACAATTCTACAATAACGGTTTTATTAAAACATATTTTTGTTTTTTAAAGTTTTGTTTTTTCGTAACTCAGCTTTAACATTTTTTTTTATTTTTGAAGGAAGAATAAGACGAATGGAACAGCGTGCTCTTCTGAATGATTCTTGTTCATGTAAGTATTTTAACTGTTTTATACTTTCACCAATCAGATATTGACAACATAAACACAACAATATATATATGTTGTCAATATTTGAACTATATATACATTGTTTTCAAAAAGCTTTTTGTAGTTTGTCCAAATGATTCTTTTATATAATTTTCATAAATATTTGAAATGTGCCCAATTGAAGACCTATACACTTTAAATAATAATGTTTGTCCAGAAATTAGCTTGAAAAGTATTGAAGGAACGTATTAAAAATTCGCAGTGATAAAAATCATTGAAAGGAAATGCAGTGTAAAAAACCAAAAATTCTACCTTGTTCAACTTGGTAATAATCAATATTTATGATATTTAAGAATATCAATAAAGGCTTGCCCGGAGGGTACCTTCTTAAATATCAAACATATCTCTTGACAGTTCACAAGGTAAGAGGAAATGCAATGTCAAAGAACCATAACTCTAGATTACTAACTTTTTGAATTATTTTTCAGTAAAATACATTTATTTGATCCTTGCTTTCCAAATAATACTTGATAATGCTTGTAACACTTTTGGATATAATTTTAAGTCTTGATTCATTAACCGATGTCTTTAATATTAGAGCACATACCTTTGATGGTCTACTAACTTTTGTTACTTGGGTCAAGGTCTTGGTCACTTTTTAAGGTCAAGACCTAGCAATGGTAGGATATGACGTCATCGCTGGCGTCGGTCCGTCCGTTAGCAATTTGGTTTTCGGATCATAACTTAAGTCCCATTTGGCCCATAATAGTCAAACTTCATAGGATGATTGTCCATATTAAGTAGAAGACTATTTGTTTTCGGGTCCTAAGGGCAAAGGTCAAGGCACTTACCTTAAAACTGAAAACAGTTTCCGTTCAATTACTTGAGTATCAATCAACCTACAGCTGTATAATTTTAAAGGATGAACAGCCATGTCCAATACATGACCCCTTTTGATTTTAGGGTCCTAAGGCAAAAGGTCAGGGTCACAATGATCTTTATTCAAAGGATGAAGGTTTCTGGAGCATAACTTGAGTTCCATTTAGCCCACATTGTTCAAACTTAACACATGAAGGATGATTGTCAATATTGAGTAGAAGACCACTATTAATTTTTGGGTCACAAGGTCAAAGGTAACGGTCACTATAACCTTAAAACTAAAAGCTGTTTTCGCTCAATTACTTAAGTATTAATCAACATACAGCTGTAAAATTTATAGGATGAACAGCCATGTCCAATACATGACCCCTATTGATTTAATGGTCATAAGGCCAAAGGTCAGGGTCACAATGACCTTAACACTGAAAATTGTGGTGTTTTGGAGCATAACACAAGTTCCATTTGGCTAACAGTGTTCAAACTTCATAGGATGATTGCCTATATCGAACAAGAGCCACATTAACATGGCCATCTCCCGCCGAATGTGTTTGCTCATTGGAAGAATGTATATTAAGTAGAGCAGAATAATTCAATTTTGTTCATGAAAACTGATGGCTGAAGTGAGTACAGATTTGAAACCTATGTTTATACTGATGGCTGAAAATAGCATAGGGCAAAAACAAAAAAATGATGCAGGGTAGGTTATCATTCTTGTGTGCTGCACTCCTCCCACCTATGAAGTTTCAAGTTGATACCTCAAATACTTTTTGAGATATGTTCCGGACAAAAAGTATGAAAAATAAGAAAGGGCTATAACTCAAAAATTATAAAGGGTAAAGTTATCATTCTTGCGCACAGCATTACTCCCAAATAGGATATACCCATCTATGAAGTTTAATGTTGACTCAAAGACGTTTTGAGTTTTGCTCCACTCAGAAGAAAAAATAAGTATGAAATAAACAAAGGGCAATAACTAAAAATATGAAGGGTATAGTTATCGTTCTTGTTCACTGCACACCTCCTGATTGAGATATATCCACCTATGAAGTTTTAAGTTGTTACTTCAAATACTTTTTGAGATATGCTGCGGACAAAAATGTGGGATGGAAGGACGGACATTTTTACCAGAACCACATTATGGGGTTTTCTTTTGTTATTTCTTTTGTTCTTTTTAATCCCACAATGCAGAAAATAACCCCACAAGAGAAACGGAATGGATGACATCAAAGACATCTATTGTTACGAGCACAATAGACCAAACCCCATAATGAAGCTCTGGTATGTACGGACGGAAGGATGGACGGACGGACGGAGACTAATAATATATCCCCCGCCGCCTTTCGGCGGGGGTAATAAAAGATTCATACCTATATTGGGGTCGCAATGGCCAACTCACACTTTCCCAATATCTTTCAAATATCATTTAAAAACCTTCTTGATTTTTTAACGTACAAGAGCATAAACCGAGGACTGTTTAAATATTTTGTTAGCTTTAATTCAAATATCTATGTTCAAAAGTCAGTATTTCCTATATTTCTTTTATAAAAATGGAAAATTCCCCCAGTCGAACACTATTTCAGAGATGCTTCCAGAAAGTTGGCATTCTACTTATATTTGAAAGAAAGAAATGGAATACTCTTTTAGTTCGTTATTTTTAAGCATACCTTGACAAAACAAAACACTAACAGTAAATTATCTAAAGCTTATAAGTTAAAAAAATTATCATTTATATACTTTTTTGTAAATTATCTTAATGTTTATCAAGTGAGGAAAATTCAGTTCTGAATTTGTGTAGGAAGAAAATTAAAACAAAAGAAAAACTGTACAGGTTCTTTTTATTTCGTGGAAAGATTTCGATGGTGTGTAAAATTTTATTCTTCGACATTCCAATGGCATTTCCTTTTTAATAAGATTGTTGTTTGATTCATTAGTCTTCTACACATATTCTCACTATTTAAACCTAGTGAAAGCTTGTACATTTGATTTATTCAATTGCAACAGCTGCATATAGCGATTCACTTACGTGTATGTACGCGCACGCGTATGTGTGCGTGTATGTGCACGCGATCATGTGTGTATGTGTATGTGTGTTTATCTGTTATATAGATTCTAAAGAGACCTTAACAAATCCTTTGGTAAAACTTACATTTTTTCAACCATTCTTGCCCGGACTGTTTCTTGGGTAAAAGGCTTCCGAAGTTGTTTAAAGGATTTGATTCCATGCAGAAATCTGATTGCCATGACAACCCAAAGAAAAAATAATGGATTAAGAGAAAAACCAAAAAGATCTAGAGCACATATATTGTGCACAATGCATTGTCTTGCGTAGACCTCTACCAATATTTTTCAAATGTATAAAGTAAAATTTTAGAATCCTTTTCTTCAAAACGACAAGGGCTGAGCTCAGATATTTAGCATGAAACTTTGTCTGAAAAAATTCTATTAAGATTGTTTAAATTTAAGCTTGAGAGTCAAGAGGGGCCCTGCCCCAGGCCATGGTTATCTCCAAATCATATCTAAATAGTGATCTAATAGTCTTTTATACATGTGTACATGTTATGCAATTTTTTTATGGAGTTTGTTTAAAGGGCATTTCATCTAGCAAAAGAGATTTTTGCATTTCAGAAATATTTATAAAACGTTTTAGGTTATGATCTCTAGCATGCTGTGCATGGATATTTATGAAATACTTTGAGCTTATTGTAAGGACATTATGGTCCACACCTTGTATGTAATGCTGATTTAAAATTTTTGATTTGTGTATGTTTCCAGAAACAGGTAATAGAGACAGGTAATGCTTAAGTGAAAGAATAATATTTAAGAAAAATAACTGTAACTGTATTTCAAAGCTTAATACAACTATGAAATACAAATGATATCTAATATTTTTCAAGTGAGAATACTTTTATTTTGAATCAATTATCATACATGGTTTTTGTATGTGGACATAATAAAAATCTGCAAACTGTTAGTCATTTGACATGCTGGAAAATTACATTGACATCCGAATTCTTTTGACACTACTGCAATATGACCATGTTTTATATTATAGAATCAAAATAATAAACTTCTAATCCTATCATTTAGTTTTCTATTTATGCGGTGGCATAGCATTTTTCACAAATGCAAACTTGTTTGAAACTTTAATTCCAACACAAGTGCATATTTTTCTTTTTTTTCTCACTTGAAAGAAAAACATAGAGTAAAGATAAATAAAGATAATACATTTCCATGTTACCTCAGCTTTAGATAATTTATACATGCTAGATCAAGTCTATTTCTTGTCTTTATTGATATATTTTAACTGCAAACTGTCTGAGTCCGAAGATTTCAAATGTACAAAACATAACAAAAGTGACGTCAAGTCACGTCGCAATAAAATGATATGTACCGTAATAGTTCTAAAATCTATAACACGTCCAATTGTCTAATAATGATACGCGTAATATCTAATACTCCGGGCTGCGAAATTAATTAAAAACTTTAAAAAAGTATAAGTCTACAGAGTATCAAATCACTTGTTCTTAAAAAATCACTTGTTCTTAAAACTTCACTATAATGCCAATCAGTGTATGAATTTGCAATCGCGAGCACCGGTTTATAACAATAAATGTTTATTAGACGTCTCTATGGGATACAGCGTAGAAATGGGTAGGAAAGTCAGGCAATACTGGTTCGAACTCTAACATCTCTCACCAAGCCATCTCCGCTAAAAATACGTTTATGTATAACTGCCAGAAGCTATTTCGTTCTGCTGGTATTATCGATTTGTATAAGCACAACATCTCCTATTATGGATATGTCTTGATTATTGTTGAGTTTATGGTATTCCCTCAGGGGTGTAAAAATTCCTTTTTCTGTCTGGTCCTAAAATGTTGTAATGTTACTGAATTAAAATTGACCACTTCTTTGACCGTAAAGAAGATAGGATGGTGTTAGTGGATCTTCACCTAATGGATCCCATACGTATGTAAGGGGGGCGGTCATTAAGGTTACACTCTACTTCTGTAATAAGCGTCTGTAGCACTTCGAGGCTTACAAGTGATTTTCCCAGTAACTTCCTTAAACATGGCTAAGTCAATCCGATTAACCTTTCCCACCAGCCTCCATACCAAGGGGCACGT